CTTTTCATGTTCGTACTTTTCATGTTCATACTTTTCATGTTCGTACTTTTCATGTTTATTCTTTTCATGTTCGTACTTTTCATGTTTATACTTTTCATGTTTATACTTTTCATGTTTATACTTTTCATGTTCGTACTTTTCATGTTCATACTTTTCATGTTTATACTTTTCATGTTTATTCTTTTCATGTTCGTACTTTTCATGTTTATACTTTTCATGTTCGTACTTTTCATGCTCGTACTTTTCATGCTCGTACTTTTCATGCTCGTACTTTTCATGCTCGTACTTTTCATGCTCGTTCTCTTCATGCTCGTTCTCTTCATGTTTGTTCTCTTCATGTTTGTTCTTTTCATGTTTGTTCTTTTCATGTTTGTTCTTTTCAGTTGGCCAACATTTCTAAAAATAATTTTTTTTAATTGGTCTTTAGTGGTGCACCGATAAATCGGCCCTGATTTCCTTAATTTAGGGATATGGGAAATTGGCCAGTCTGTTAAAGCCATCAGTTTGCATGAGAAATCGATTTTACTGATTTTGTTGTTTGTTTTAACAATTGTCTGAACTTCATTTATATTTTAGAAACACTACCTCGTGACCAGTTAAAACAATTTTGTATTGTTTCTAGGATATTGTTCAAGTGTATGTTTTCCAATAAAATAATATTGGAAAATTGAAGGTGCATTAGTGTCGCTTATAAAACAAAATCACTACCAGCCAAAATCTGAATTAGCAGGTCAGACTTTTTAGAAATCGGTGATCGGCCAGAAAACTGCAATCGGTGCAGCCCTAGTTTTAAGTAATATTCAAACTTTCTGAGATAGTTAATTTTGGGTTTTCATTAGTTGTCAGTTATAATCATCAACATTAAAAGAAATACACATTTGAAATATATCAGTCTGTGTGTAATGAATGAATATAATCTACAAGTTTCACTTTTTGAATGGAATTACTGAAATAAATCAACTTTTTCATGATATTATAATTTGATGACCAGCACCTGTATTGATTCAATTGTTCATCTTTTTGGAAAATCAAAACTACAAATGTAACGGTGACTTTGTTTCAGTTGTCGGTGTTGGAAATGGAACTAAAATGCTCAGCAAAATGTTGGCTGGGTCAAAGGTGAGTTTGATAGGACTTTAAACAGAGATATGACCTCTAATACTACAGCTATTTATGTTAAAGCCATCAGTTTGTTTATTCATTTGAATATTTTCATTCACCTGCTTTCAAATTGGTTAAAAATGTTTATGTATTGTTTGTACCCCTTTCATTATTGCATTATAATTTATTGCACTTCTTTTACGGCCTAAAAAATCTAATTTCAAGAAATTAAAGTTGGGTGTTTGGGGTGTCTTTAATGCGCACAACATATTTGTAATTCAAAGATCTCAAATAGTTTTGTTTAGAGAAAAACAAAAGCACCTGATGAATGTGTGTTTTCTTGGATTCTGTTACTTTTTTACATTTGTGGTATACCTCGAAGGGAAAGTTTATTGCATGTTCCCATACAACAACAAAACTTTGTGTCTGTATCACACTTTAGATGATACACCCAAGCAGAGCAGTGGACAGCCTAGTGATCAGTTAGGGGACAGGTGTCTTGCTTAAGGACAGCACAAAATATGAGCACAGGATTCTTTGTTGGATCCAGGTCTGGACTTTGACTGAACCCTTCCAGAACATTTAACTGGTTCTTTTTGAACTTGTGGCGTGTTGAGCAGAGTTTTTAGGCTCATTGTCCTGCTGGAAGGTCCCTGTCTCTGTCCCACTTTCAAATCTTCAGAAATCTCCAAACAGGTTTCCCATCAGGGTGGCTCAGTTGGTAGAGCTGTTGCCTCTCAGAGAGAAGGTTGTCGGATTGAATCCCAGCCGGGGGCCCTTCTGGGTGGAGTTTGCACGTTTTTTTCGTGGGTTTCCTCCCACAGATTAAAAACATTCAGGCGAGGCTGATTGGTAACTCTAAATTGTTCCTAGGTGAGAGAATGAATGTTTGTCTCGTTTGTCTCTGTGTCCCTGTGGTGGACTGGAGACCTGTCCACCCCCTCTTCTCTCGCACAGTGACTGCTGGACATGAGCACCAGTGACCCATGTGACCTGAAAAGGAAGAAGTGGGTAAAGATGATGGATGGATGGTTCCCCCCCAATAATTCTCAGTATTTTGCTCCATCCATCTTTCCTTAAACTGCAACCAGTTTCCCAGTCTCTGCTCCCACCACCATGTTTCACTACACCAGTGCTTCTCATTTATTTTCTGTTACCCCCCCCCCCTAGGAACATGTAAACCCCCCCCCCCCCCCAAACTCTCTGCTGCGACTGTAAATAGTATAATTTGTCTATAAAATTGTTATAAATACAACTCTGCAAAACATTGTGTCCTTATTAACATTAAAGAAAATAATTGATCAGCTTACAATAAAGAATAACTTTATTAACATTGTTTTTTAGTCTGTAACAGAAACTAATTAAAGTGCATCAATTTGCCTGAAAAAAAAACATCATTTTTTAAACTAAACATTTTTGACCATTTGATACTGAAAAATAAAATTAAATATAATCAATAAATAATAATAAATTCAAATTGATCTGCAACATTTTAACTCTGTGTTATATAAAACACTTTGACCTAAAAAAAGAATAAAATACAAACTGGATTCCAAAAAAGTTGGGACACTAAACAAATTGTGAATAAAAACTGAAT